CCAATTGCGCACAATAGTGTCCCACAAACAGTTGTGGGTTGCGTGACCAATTTAGGTACATGAGACGGCCAGCCTTCAGTTAATGAATAATGGCATGGATGGCACATATTGTGAGAATTCTCACCCGTGATAATTAACGCATCCCAGGTCAACATTTTGACCCACAACTTTCTAAAGGTGATTTTGCTAATAATTCTCACTTGGTTAAAATAATCTTGCACAGCGATTGCTGTGTCGGTTCCATCCAGACAGTTTGCAGTTGTAGGTTTGTTAGTGGGTTCACGGCAGCCATTACAGTAATTGGATACATCATTAGATTGTAATCCTAAAGGTTTTTTTCACTCCTTCAAATTGTTCACAGGAGGGAACTCTTCTTTCTATAGATAAGGTAGTTATTTTAGCAACTTGGAAAGGGTGAAGAACTAAGTGGATCCTCTGGGATTTGAACCCACGACCTTTTGCTAAGTCTTCTGTTCGGCTTATTGAGTTGCCCCTGGGGATCTGTCTAGCTATGGTTCCTCCATCAGGTGATTGAAAGCATTTGCTTCAGTCCATCACTGTTGTACATGGCCATTGGAAACAATAATTTTCACTGCCACAGAGGACCTTTCCCAATCCCATGCTTTCTTAATGTGCTGTAAAACATAAAGGTGGAGTCCTGTAGCTCAGTAGTTAGAGCACTCGCTTTGCAAGTGAGAGACCTGAGTTCAATTCCAGGCAGAGGGCGAAACCTTGGGCAAGTTTCCTTACTCCACACAGAGCCTAATAATAATCCCTCCAAAACCCAAAACAATAATAAAATTGGTCATTGTCAATCTACGGCTGTTTGTGGGACATTGCTGTGCGCAATTGGCTGCCGCGTTCGCCCACAAATATACAGTCAATTCACTTTACAGTGTGTTCTGTGAAGCGCTTTGGGACGTCCTCCCGACGTGAAAAGTGCTATATCAAATGCAAGGATTATTATTATAATGTGCTATATCAAATGCAAGGCTTATTATTATAGAATTACATAGAGTGATATGGCACGGAAACAGGCCTAACTAGTCCATGTCAGTTTTTATACACACGTCCTAATATTCCTCCCTCCTATATCCTTCTAATCCCTTCTCCCTCATGTATGCCAAGTTTCCTCTTAAGTACGTTGATGATCATGGCAAGGGAAACACAGATAAAAGCAGAGAGTTGTACCATTTAGAAATTGTTAATATGTGACTGAATTGAAATTAAAATGTATTGAAGCAGAAAGGAACAACATATTTAAGAGGAAACTTGATGCATTGTGTAAGGGAGAAGGAAATAGAGGGGTATAGGAGATAGGAATAGGAGGATAAGGAGGTTTGTGTGGAGTCTAAACAATGGCATAGACTTCATGGTCTTTTTTCATGCTTTAATGTTCTATGCAATGATATAAGAAATTTGGAGTCACTCGAATCTCTTGAACTAAGGTATTTTCAAAATGTACCTCTTTGAATGCGCTTTCGGACATCTTTCCCCTCCTCCATCCCCTCTGGGTTTCCCCCCATTACGCCCTCACCCCCAGCTCCGCCAAGTGCTTTAAGACATCTTCCTGCCATGAAAGGCCCTGTGTTAAATTTGTACTTGCACTCTTCCGTTGAATCCTGACATCACCTGCTGCAATACAGATTGCAATACAAAGCTATATCCTTTGACAAGAGTTAGTCAGGTAACAATGAGAAGATGGAAGGTCTCTTTAATATTAAACACCATCGATGTGCTGAAGCCAACATCTAAGGATCAAAACACACTCTTCCTGGCTTAAAACAACCAGATGGTATAATTAGTTTGACAACAAGACTGTGACTAATTTAAGTAATTGTCATTTGCAGCTCCCTCCTGTTCTCAGCTATTTATTACGACTCAGATTTTTCTGTCAATTTCTCTTTGATGTCGTTTGGGTTACGGAGATGATAACAATTGCTAATATCCGGCTCCGCTGAAGCACTTATCAGTGGCAGCAGCCGGTTTTGAACAGTGTCTCATGTGGTGTCCCTCAAGGCTCTGTCCTTGGTCCCCTCCTCTTCACCCTCTATATGCTCCCCCTGTGGTGACATCATCCGCAGACATTGAGTTAACTTCCACATGTATGCGGATGACACCCAACTCTACCTTTCCTCCTCTACTCTCAACTCCACGACCACCGATGTCCTGACAGCTGCCTGTCCGACATCGAGTCCTGGACGAGAGACAACTTTCTTCAGCTCAACGTGCGAAAAACCGAGGCCCTCCTGATTGGCTCACGTCAGCGCCTCCGCACCTCAGGCGCTGACACCATCAGCATCCAAGGCTGCACTCTCCACCTCGCAAAGCCAGTCAGGAACCTCGGCGTTTTGTTCGACCCTGAGCTGTCCTTTCTCCCTCACATCCGCACCACAACTGGCACCGCCTTCCATCACCTCCGGAACATCGCCAGACTACGGCATTACCTCACCCCTCACGCTGCTGAAACTCTGGTTCACGCCTTTGTCACCTCAAGGCTGGACTATGGGAACTCTCTCCTCGCCGGCCTTCCCGCCACCTCCCTCCACAAGATGCAGGTCATTCAGAACTCTGCAGCTCGTGTACTGTCCCGCACCAGGCTTCGGGACCACATCACTCCCACCCTCGCTCGCCTCCACTGGCTCCCTATCCCCCAGAGGATTGATTTCAAGATCCTCATCCTCACCTACAAGGCCATTCACGGCCTTGCTCCCTCCTACCTCTCCGACCTACTATCCCCCTACCTACCTGCCCGTACCCTCCGTTCCTCTGGCTCCGGTCTGCTCCACGTCCCCCGCCCCAACCGCCCTACCATCGGTGGTCGGGCCTTCAGCCTCTCAGCCCCAGGCTCTGGAACTCTATCCCCCAGTGCCTTCGCCGCCTCCTCCCTTTCCTCCTTCAAGGCCGGTCTCAAAACCTTTCTCTTTGACCGAGCCTTCAGCTCCCCTCTCGACTCTCTTCCCCTCCTCGCTCCCTCCCTTCCCTCCCCTTACCCTGACCATTTCCCCCTCCTCGCTCCCTCCCTTCCCTCCCCTCACCCTGACCATTTCCCCCCTGCTCGGGTCATGACCCAACTGTGCAGCGCCTTGGGACGTCCTCCTGACGTGAAAGGCGCTTTATAAATGGAATCTTGTTGTTGTTGTTGTTGTTGTAATCCTTTAAGCTAAAATACATAGAGGCATAGATCACAGACTAATCACCCTCATATTTGTTACAAATAGCTGAAAACAGGAATATAATGAAATAATTTACGAGCTCCCTATATGAAGCCAGCTCAGAAGAAGCCTGAGATCCTTCTAAATCAGCCTGGGTTCAATTAGAAGCATTCTGACCCACAGTTGCCTACAAAGTACACCGTCACTAGACTTTCCAATAAACACTGTGAAGCACTTTCTATCGTCCTCTTGACTTGAAGGGCGTACCAAATCTTAAGGTTTACTATTACTATATAATTGGAAAAGTAATAAGATTCCTTACATTTGACATAGCACTGTATCATGTCATTGAGACACGTCAAAGCGCTCCGCAGGATATAACGTGGAATAACTGTGTATTTTGTGGGCACTGTACAGATCCCTGCTGAAGCACAGTTTCAGCACGTCTCTGAAACTGCCAAGCGGGGAAGATTAGCAAGAGCTCGCATCAGACAGTGTTCAGATTTACCTGTTTGCTTGTGTTTCTAAACAGGCTGTTTCACCCTTTGCTTATTCACTCATCATTATCAATAGAGAACTGAAGAACTGTGAAGCCCTTTGAGACGTCATCACTCCCACCCTCGCTTGCTTCCACTGGCTCCCCATCCCCCAGAGGATTGATTTCAAGATCCTCATCCTCACCTACAAGGCCATTCACGGCCTTGCTCCCTCCTACCTCTCCAACCTACTATCCCCCTACCTACCTGCCCGTACCATCCGTTCCTCCGGCTCCGGTCTGCTCCACATCCCCCGCCCCAATCGCCCTACCATCGGTGGTCGGGCCTTCAGCCTCTCAGCCCCGAGGCTCTGGAACTCTATCCCCCAGTGCCTTCGCCGCTTCCTCCCTCTCCTCCTTCAAGGCCGGTCTCAAAACCTTTCTCTTTGACCGAGCCTTCAGCTCCCCTCTCGACTCTCTTCCCCCTCCTCGCTCCCTCCCTTCCCACCCCTCACCCTGACCATTTCCCCCCTGCTCGGGTCATGACCCAACTGTGCAGCGCCTTGGGACGTCCTCCTGACGTGAAAGGCGCTTTATAAATGGAATCTTGTTGTTGTTGTTGTTGTCCTCTCAGCACTATACGCGAGGTTATATATTTTAGGAGTGTCAGACATGATTTCCTACATTTACGGGGAATGAGGTGTGGGGTTCTGGGGGGTGAGAATTGAGCCCAAAGTCTTCTTTCCTCCCCATCGCACCTTCCATACAAAAAAAAATCCCTTTGATCTACCAGTTTTCGCTTCAGTGGTAACATGAGGTGATAAATCTGTCAGTGGGGGTTTATGTTTATATTTGTGTCCTGACACCAGTGGATTAATGAGGAGGTTCTGTTTGATGGCACCTTGGTTCTGGATTATGAATGGTTTTCTCCTCGCAGACAGGGGATAACCTGTGACAGGATAATAACCTGTGTTCTGGGTGCTCCTGACATAGCATGTGAAGTCCGGTAGAGCACTAGCCTCGCAAGTGAGAGATCTGGGTTCGATTCCCGGGCAGGGCGAAACGTTGGGCAAGTTTCCTTACTCCACATGCTTCGGTTTACCTAGCAGTAAGTAGGAACCCAATTGGCGGATCGCTTTTCCGCGAGTAATAAGTCCTCCAAAATAAATTTTAAAAATAATAATTTGGTCACTCAATCCATCACTATTTGTGTTTGCCGCCTTTCACCCACAAAATATGGAATCAATTCACTTTTAAGTGTATTCTGCAAAGTGCTTTGAGACGTTTCGAACATGTGATAGGGGCTACATTAAATGCAAGGATTATTCTTATTCTTATTCCTAATTGTTGGATGTTCCTGCTGCTTTCAGCTGATATACCTGCCTCCACCCTGGGGAGATTGCCAGCCTTTAACTGACAACACAGAATTCTTCCCAACTTACAGCATCACCGCTTGCAGGATTGACTGTGAAACCCGCTATCTGGTCGAGAACTGTAACTGCCGCATGGTCCACATGCCAGGTAGGTTTCCAATTGCTGAAACAAATTAGGTTGACGTCAGGGGTGGGTGGGGGGGGGAGGGAATTGTGCCATGTGATTATTATCATTGATAATAATTATCAAATCAATCCAAAAATGTGGTCAACTCCAGTCAACGGTTACCACCCCCTGCCTTTAGATGAAATTCAATCCTCGCTAGATGCTCACTGTAAGCCATGAGGGTAATGAACTGTAAAAAAATGAGCCCAATGGACAGCTCACTGTATCCGCAACTCCCACTTGTGCATTATTCACATTATTTTATCACCTGCAAAATAGTGTAGTAACTATACACACATATGTTTTTAACACCTTAATTTTTAACAACCTTTCCCTATCCCACCTTATCATTCTCTCCTCGCCCCTTCTCCCCCCACCCCGACACACAAACTCACACACACACACAAGTACACACATACACTAGAGGTATTTAAATTTAAAACCCAGCACTTTGACATTCCCTATGGTCATCTCTCCTGACTCAGTGCCTGAACCATCTCTGTGAAGCTCTCTGAGACCCTATGTTATTTCCCCGCCGTATCATTCCATGTGATTCTATGTAATCTTCATTGGCAAAGGAATTGCAGGACCACAATGAATATCTGAGGAAATTGATGCTCTGTGTTGCGTGTGATGTCTGTGACCTGCTAATCCCATATCAATCTGTCCTCTTCCACCATTTGGATCTCCTTTCCACCTTCCCATCACCTCACTCTCTCCCTTGCCTCCTTCAAGGCATGTTTCAAGACCCTCCTTTTTGATCCAGCCTTTACCGACCCTCCTACCCTCCCTGCCCTCCACCTTCTCTGATCCCAACCCCACCGGCTTGGGTCCAAATCCCTGATTGTCCAGTGCCTTGGGACGTCCTCCCGACGTGAAAGGCGCTGTACAAATGTCATTTTGTACAGTGTCATCATTGAGGGATGGAAATCATCCTATTAACACGATGTGTGATTTTTTTTCCCTCTCCGAATTCTATCGCAGGTGATGCTCATTACTGCACCCCTGAACAGTACAAAGAATGTGCGGAGCCCACATTAGGTGAGTTAATTCCAGCTCTGTTTTCTCATTCAGTTATAGTGTGTTGCAACACAGACCCATTACTAGATTAGAGACCGCAAATCCCTTTAATACATCCAACAGCCTATAGGCAGGATTACTGCAGTTTTGCAGACGTAGACAGTCTTCCGTCATCGAGGCACCATCACTGAAGGTGATGGAAGTATTTTTACACGTCTCATTATTCATGATATAAATGACATACATTGTCACGCATTTTCTTGCTTTTCCCCAGAGACTAGTCAGTGGTAAGGGCTAAATTTATAATAATAATAATCCTTGCGTTTGGTATGGTGCCTTATCACATCTTCAAGACATCACAGACATCACATCTTCACAGAATATACTATAAAGTGAATTGACTGTGTATTTGGGGGGCAAACTTCCACCTGGGTTTAGATTTACCTTGTTTGCCTGGGGTTGAGTTTGGCAAATTCTTAAATACTGCCTCACTTTTGAGATGTGCCAGCAGTGTCCCACAAATAGTCATGGATTGCGTGACCAATTTGTAAAAATTTTTAAAGTCATTAATGCCCGGAAAAGCGATCAGCCAATAGACTAACAACCGGGTTCCTGCTTACTGTTAGGTAGACAGAGGTGTGTGGAGTAAGGAAACTTGCCCAACATTTCACCCTGCCCGGGTTTCAAACCCAGGTTCTCTCACTTGTGAGGCGAGTGCTCTAACTACTGAGCTACAGGACTCCATATACGCTTATGTTCTTAACCTCTATCAAGTGTAGATCTGTGCATCAATGTGCTTGAAGGTTGATACAGCTGTGATGGGAGCTAATCTTCTGTTGTCTTTCACTCCACAGCCTTGCTGGCGGAAAAGAATAATCACTGTGTGTGTAAGATGCCCTGTTACCTGACCCGGTATAACAAAGAGCTGTCCATGGTGAAGATACCAAGCAGGACTTCGGCAAAGTATCTCGAGAAGAAATTTAACAAGACAGAAAAGTACATTTCGTAAGTGTACGGAAAACTGATATTGATCGTTTCACTGAAGTGCAGTGAGTGTATTTTGTAGGCGTACGTTGCAGCCAATTTGCGCACAGCAATAATAATGACAATAATAATAATCTTTGCATTTTGATATAGCCCCTTATCACATCTTCGAGACGTCTCAAAGCTCTTTACAGAATATACTGTAAAGTGAGTTGGCTAAGACACCGAGAGAGAGAGGTGCCATGGGATCTTTAATATCCACCTGAACAGGCACACTTCATCCGAAGAACGGTACCTTCACCAATGCAGCATACCCCCAGCACTGTGTTGAAGTGGCAGCCTAGACTGTGTGAGTTCAAAGTCCCGACGTGTGGATTGAACCGACAATCTGCTGACTCAGAGGGGAGAGTGTTACCAACTGAGCCAGACTGACGGCTAAGGCATTGAGAACATTTTACCTGAACGAAGTGATTGAGACTAATGGGCCTTGCTTCTCATACAGGTCACTTTCACAAAGCATTGGAAATTTGGTAATTCTTAGTTATTGAGAATGAACAAATCGATTTCCTATCTCTTGCTTTTCCCACAAATGTCCCAGTTTCAAATTTGCCACAGGATATTAATGCTCTATTATAGCCTAACCTCTCTCTCTCTCATTTCCCTTCAGCTGCCTTATTCTCCTTCCTTGACCGTTTTGTTCTATATATCACAGGAATGCCTGTAGCTATTGAAAGAATGGCAGAGAGTTCCACCAGGCAGGCAAATGGTGCTTCATGACTTGTGTTCAGTGCAAAAATTTTGATATCACTAACAAAAATAGTATTGAGGAAGGTCCTTCAAGCCCACTCAATCTCAATTTCCGCAATGCTTATAGTGCCGTGGGATCTTTAACAGTCAGAGAGGAACTTGGTTTTAATGTCTCACCCAAAGGCTCCTCCAACATTGCAACACACACCCAGCAACGCCCTGAAGCGCATGTTTAGACTATGAGTTCAACATCCTGACATGGGGCTTAAACCCACAACCTTCTAACTCAGAGGCGAGAGTGATACTAACTGAGCCGGGCTGGCCCAAATGTTGATATTTCTTCCTACACCATGACTACACCAGCCCTTTGTAGAGTCTAACGGCAAATATTTCATTTCCAGGTTTCACTCTTGCATTTCTTGTTACAGAGAGAATATTTTAGTACTGGATGTATTCTTTGAAGCCCTGAACTATGAGACCATTGAGCAGAAGAGAGCCTATGAAGTTGCGGGATTACTTGGTAAGTCAATGGAATTCATGAGTGGAGTGTTCCTTGTCCATTTTATGTCTTCTCTGACCAGGACGATGTTTTGTCTCAATGCCTCCCGAAAATGTATAAATTCAATGTCTCCCTTAGACTATCACTACTTTATTCAGGCTGAGAAACTAGCTGAAACATTAGAACATTGTAGTGGTCTTTCATATTACTCCCTGAGGACAAACAAAAGTGCCTCAGGTGTATTTAATCCTTTTACAAGCACAAATTTATATTGATGTATTTCCCCTTCGAAGTCAACAGGAGTTTTTATTTTGGTAGCTTCTTGAAATGTAATTCAAGTCCATTTCACTCCCAATTTATCTCTCTCTCTCTCTCTCTATATATATATACAATTTATATACACACAAAAGAAATATATACAGCATTTCATATTATCATTGATAATAAGATTACCTCTGTGCTAATATTCCATGCCGTATTTTCACCCTGTCTCTATGGTGAGGGCTAGAAATTTCACCCGGGTCTAGATTTTGTCTATTTATGTGGCCTTTCAAAACTTTGCAAATTCTTAAACGGCAAACTCTTAATTCTAAGAGAGGCTACAAAGAGTGAATTCAACAATTTGTAAACCCTCAGTGTTCCAAAATACCACAAGAATATAATAATAATAATAATAATAATAAAATAATAGGTAGCAAATCAAGTCAGAAGGACATCCCAAAGCACTTCGCAGATTTACTGCAAGACAGATTTGGCTGTGTGTTTTTTTTAAAAAATATATAGACCTGAACAGAATTTTTCCCCAGTAATTTGAATTTCAGCCTCGCTTCTGCCAAGGTACCTGTTTAACTAACAGCCTATTCCCTTTTGCAGGTGACATCGGCGGCCAGATGGGCCTGTTTATTGGTGCTAGTATTTTATCCGTGTTAGAGCTTTTCGATTACCTATACGAGGTAAGATTTTGTGAGATATTGGAATTCCAATGGAGTGATCTGCAAGCATATCATTTTACTGTACAGCTCAGAAGCAAGGCATTTGACCTATGCAATCTGCATCAGGATTTTTCTTCAGATTACAAACCTTGTCTAATCCCACCTTCCTGTAGTCTCCTCATCGGCAGCTCAATCCCACAGCATTTCATATTCTTTTTCAAATAACTGTTGAAGCTCCTTCCAAAACAATTTGCATTTACACAGCTCCTTTCATGTAGGATAACATCTCAGAACACTTTACAGGGATGGGGTTAAAAGTAATCCTTGCATTTGATATCGTGACATTCAACATCTCAAAACACTTCACAGAACTTACCGTATAGTAATAATAATAATCCTTGCATTTGATATAGCGCTTTTCATGTCTTCTAGACGTCTCAAAGCGCTTCACAGAATATACTATAAAGTGAATTGACTGTATATTTGTGGGCAAAACGTGGCAGCCAATTATGCACAGCAGTCCTACAAACAGTAGTGGATTGAAGTGACCAATTTATTATTATTGTTTTGTTTTTTCTTGAGGGCTTATTATCAGGCCTGTGGAGTAAGGAAACTTACCCAAGGTTTTGCCCTGCTGGGAATTGAACCCAGGTCTCTCGCTTGTGAGGCAAGTGCTCTAATTGCCGAGATACAGGATAATGTGATTACTGTGTGTATATATTTTGAAGTCAGGTATTGAGGGATACGGGACAAGGGCAGGTAATTGGACTCGAGGTACAGATCAGTCATGATCTTACAAAATGGTGGAACAGGCTCGAGGGGCTGAATGGCCTACTCCTGTTTCTATGTATTTTGTAGGCAAATGCAGCAGCCTATCTGCGCACAGTAATGTCCCACAAACAGCCATGAAGCAAACAGGCTAATTAGAATCATAATTAGAATCCTTTTCATCACTTAAAAGGGAAAAGCCCTTTTAATGATCTCTCTTTCTCTCTGCTTGGCTGGATGCCATTCCCCCTGGAAGCAGAGCCGTTTGGAAGAAAAACATTTTATTTTTTGGGGGAAAAAGACATATATGAAAATGAATTATTAATAAATTTGCAATCTTTTTTTAAGAGCTTCGGGGAGCGAGACATATGCCTTCCTCACCTCCAGGCTGGACTGCGATGCGTCCGCGCACATCTAAAACGTTTCAGGGGCAACACAAAGCATCGAGAAGTGCGTCCACAGAGTCTAGCTGTAGTGACCTGCATATGACCTGCAATGCAAGCGGGAAAAACACAGCGATTTTTTTATGGTCATTTATGGTTGGTCGTTGCGTCTTCTAGGGGTTCGCACACTGGCGTTGATGCAAAATATTCTCCAGTTCTGAACACAGTTTGATGTGTCGCTGCACAGTATGTGCTGCTGCAGATAATAAAGGGTTCTGAAGCTCTCTGCTGACAGCTAACCTTCACACGTGCAAAGCAACCAGAAGCATGGAGCCATTAACATGGCGCATTTGTTTGCATTCGTTTATATCTCATCCGAATATGTTTTTTACTGCGTCTGCAAAAAACGACCGGCTTCACACAGGGGTTAGGCCGACGACTGCAAACTGCTGCCAGAAAAGGTGGTGGGGATCCTGGGACGCTAGTGGGGGCTGTTGCCTTGTCAGAGGTGCCGTTCTTTGGGTAAGATGTTGGATCGGATGACTTCCCGACTGCCTGTTCAAGTGGACGTTAAAGATCTCATGGCACTCATTCAGGGAAGGGAGAAGGGAGTTTCCCTCTCACAGATATATACCCACTGCACTTTACATTGTATCCTTTGAAGCGCTTTGAGACGTCTCAGTAACGTGATAAGGCGCTATATCAAATGCGAGAATTATTATTACTAATAATAACAACAACTTGTATTTCTTTAGCACTCTTCATGCGGTGTAATATCTCGAATTGCTTGACAAACACTATGCTGGCTACTGTTAACGTGAATAAATGGTAAGATACCAGGTCTAGGTAGGTACAGTAACACACCAAGCAGATCAGCGGGACTATCAACAGCAACAACAAATTGCATGTTGATTACTGCTTTTTACAGCTCAGTGGTTAGAGCACTCGCCTCACAAGCGAGAGCACCTGGTTTCAATTCCCGGGCAGGGCGAATCGTTGGGCGAGTATCCTTACTCCACATACATGCCTCTGTTTACTTAGCAGTAAGTAGGAAACTGGTTGTTAGTCAATTGGCATATCGCTTTTCCAGGATAATAATTTCTTCAAAAAAAAATCAGTCACTTCAATCCACGACTGTTTGTGGGACGCTGCTGTGCGCAATTGGCTGTCGCGTTTCTTCCACAAAATACAGTCAATTCACTTCACAGTATATTCTGTGAAGTGCTTTGTGATGTCTAGAAGACGTGATAAGGCGCTATATCAAATGTAAGGATTATTATTATTAATATTTTACATCAGGAGGATGTGGCAGCCTGTTTTAAGCTCATGAACACAATGTGAATTCTGCTGCACTGAATGTGTTAGAAAATACCCCACTGCTCTGTCAACTGGTATATATTGTGTGAGGGCTGAACTCAACAACAGCCCTGTGGCTGTAGATCTGGGCTGTTGGACCCCATTCCATTTTACAAAATCTGTTTGGAGTTATCATTAAAAGATGAGCCTTTGGCTTGCAGCTTATTTTTTTCTCTGTTTGATTTAAGATCACAGTATCATCTGCTGCAAACTTCCAGTGCATTAAACAGCACCAACAGAGTGAAGCAACGGATAGGATTATTTCTCTTTCTTTGAGGATAAGACTGCCCTTTTGCTTTCACCTCCGCGGATAAAACACTACCGTCCTCTGAGAGGGTCAGCGAGGTTCATTCGCTTCAAGCTGTCTGTCGTTGATGGTACTGTGGAAGAGTAGAACAGGAAAGGACAATGATGGCTGTTTGTTCCACAGACTATGTGAAATCCATTCTTCCGTAGAATTTACCCATTGTGTGTCAGCCTAGCTCTGTTGGCAGCACTCTCGCTCGGAGTCAGAAGGTTGTGAGTTCAACTGCTATCTTGGGACTCATATAATCTAGGGATGCATATTTTGTAGGCAGATGTGGCAGCCATTTTGAACAAAGCCACAGATAGCCATGACGTGAACAACCAATTTTATCCTGGAGTTTGTCAGCCAGGACGACGGGACAAATTATGTCTATGGGATCTTTAACATCCACCTGAACAGGCAGATTACCTGGGTTCAATTCCCAGCAGGGCGAAATGTTGGGCAGGTTTCCTTACTCTGCACTCCTTTGTTTACCTGGCAGTAAGTAGGAACCCAGCTATTAGTCGATGGGCGTATCGCTCTACCGGGGGTAATAATACCTTCAAAATAAATCAATCCACGACTGTTTTTGGGACGCTGCTGTGCACAATTGGCTGCCACGTTTCACCCACAAAATATACAGTCAATTCATTTTACAGTATATTCAGTGAAGCGCTTTGAGACGTCTCAAAGATGGGATAAGATGCGATATCAAATGCAAGGATTATTATTATTATTATGATTAATGTCTCATCTGAAGTGTAGCACTCCAACAGCACACACAGTCCACACTGTATCAGTTCAAAGTTGTGTTGTGGGACTATACCCACAACCTGCTGACTTGAAGGCAAGAGTGCTACCAACAGAGTCAAGCTGACACCTCTGTAAAATTGCTTCTGATGTTGATTTAAAAATACTTTATCAATCTTTGTTGAATTTCAAAATAATCAAAACGGATTAATTCATTACATAATTGAGAGTGGACCTATTGAGACAGACAGTGTGAAGGAACTAATTTAACATGCACAGTCAAATTTACATGATTGCTGAAATCCCCCTTGGGTTAATAACTATCTTTATTGATGTTAACTCAACTTTGTCACAAGCTAGGCTGAATATTTCCTTCAAGATATTCCTCCTGTCATTTCCATTACATACAGTTACATAAAACGCTACAGCACAGAAAACATGTCTTTCAAACCAACTAGTCTGTGAAGTGTTTATTCTCCACACAATATAACATGTACACATTACACAGTATCCCTTTCAATATAAATCAAATCTTTTCCTTTCAACTTTTCATCTGACCTTATTGAGTTTTGGAATACCTGTGGTCAAAAACAAGATGTAAATGGAAAAAGTACCAGTTGTGACTGTTTTAAGTTTGGAGTCCTGCAGCTCAGTGGTTAGAGCACTCGCCTCGCACGAAAGAGACCTGGGTTCGATTCCCAGACAGGACGAAACATTGAGCAAGTTTCCTTACTCCACACACCTCAGTAAGTAGGAACCCGATTGTTAGTCGAATGGCAGATCATGCTTCTGGGGGTAATAATTCCTTAAAATAAACTAATAATAAATAATTGGTCACATCAACCCATGACTGTTGTGGGACGCTGCTGTGTGCAATTGGTTGCCACATTTCGCCAAAAAATATACAATTTATACAAAATATGCAAAATATAGTCAATTTGTTTTACAGTATATCCTGTGGAGCACTTTGAGATATCTCGAAGACTTGACTGTACCAAATGCAAGGATTATAGTAGACTATTGAGTTTATTGGAAATGTAGCCCAACATGCAGGTACAATAATGGACCTCAAGGTTGATAGCTTGGGAACTGATTGATCAAGCCTCATTGTTAGTACCTCCAACCACGCAGATCATCTCCAGAACTGTCCATTATCAGCCTGACACCAAGATCTCAAAGTTCCTGACACAGAACCCCAACCCAGAGCCTTGTGACTCGGAGGCAAGGGTGCTTGCAATGAAGCCAGTCTGACCACCCCCTTAAATCAATGTACGCCAAGGTCATTTGAGTTATTAGGGAGGGAGCATTATTACCAAGGAACGCATGTACCATTTGGAATTATGCATTACATTTTCTCCTTCATTCATTCGAGCAGGGATTTGCTTAACATGTGAGTTGCGGATTTATATCCCGCTCAGTAGCGCAACTCGCTGTTCCTCATCAGAACTCTTATTGATTTATAATTGCCGACAGAAAGTGAGACTCTCACTGCGTGGAGTACACCCACACTACTGTGGGGTGCAATTTTGTGCTTGAAAACACACCCTGTAGCCCTGTAAATAGCACTGCGGGGAGGGAAAAAAAAGAGAGAAATTATGTTTTTCGCTGTTGTATTACCAGATCTGTTAAAGTTATATCTTTACGATTTCATTGCTCCCTGGCGTGGCTCAGATGTGCACAGCGTTAGCTAAAAAATGTTAGAGTTTCTGCTGCAATCATTTTCACCACAAATCAATGACCTTCTGAAGCTGCAGTGACTATAATTGAATAAGCCAGCAGTCTGGAGCAAGCCATGTTACACCTTGACGCATTTATTCCCTTTTACATTATTCTGTTTCTTACGACTGTTTCTCATATCTTTATTTATTACAACCTTGGCAGTTTCGCATTTCCTATTTCCTGGCCTCTCTCTCCTTCCTCTGTACTGAATAATTTATAATAATAATAATAATCCTTGCATTTGATACAGTGCCTTATCATGTCTTCGAGACGTCTCAAAGCGCTTTGCAGAATATACTGTAAAGTGAATTGACTGTACATTTTGTGGGCAAAACATGGCAGTCAATTGCATACAGCAGTGTCCCACAAACAGTTGTGGATTGAGTGACCAAATTATTATTATTTTTAAGGAATTTTTATCCCCGGAAAAATGATCTGCCAATCGACTAAAAACCGGGTTCCTACATAAACAGAAGCATGTGAGGTAAGAAAACTTGCCGAACGTTTCGCTCTGCCTGAACCCACAACCTTCTGACTTGGAGGAAAATAAGCCAGGTTTTAGAGCTTCACAGACTATTTCCTCCAAAAGCCTCTCTAATAGTTCTGCAAGATCAAAAGAACATATGTCAAGCAATTGATCAAAGACATGGCAAGTAAATCACTTGTTAAGTGAATCAAAGTGCCACCTGTTGTGAATCAAATTAAAGATTAAAGATGTAACTTGACAAATATTTCCTCAGACAAATAAGCTCGAAAAATTCCACGCTCATTTATCCAGTCAGCAACAAAGGTCTGTGTGCATAGATTCTTCATTAATTATGCACATTAATCAGATAATAAGCTTTATTCTCGTGTGGAGCAATTGACTGAATTATTTAAGTAAACTTAACCTTTCAACCTTTTAATGGCACAGCATTAAATCAAATACTCAAAGGCCTTGCAATTCAATAGCTTCATTTGATGGTTATTGCAGGAAGCCATAAGATTTCCTCATGGATCCAATCAGTTCTGCATTCTCATATTTCACGCAGCGAGGTGAGAGACTCTGTGTCTGAGCAGCACTGCTGTGGACTTAATAGTTGTGAAGCCCTGATGCTGTTTAGTAATTGTTCCAACTGATCAGTCACCAAACACTGTCAGCTGTTGAGAGATCCCTAGACCATTCAAACAACCCAGAGCTTCTCCAGTATGCAAGTACTGCGCCCTTTACATGGTCCAATACTCATCCAGTCATTGTGGAAAATACTAAGCGTGCAAAACATAATTCTCTTGGACCTGGAAGGGGAGCTCGGTCAGGAAACACTTTTATAATAATTAGAATCCTTAACGTTTGATACATGGGCCTTCACATCGGGAGGATGTCTCAAAGGACATCCTCACCATGCACTATTTATTGTGTGCCTTGTTGGCAGATTCTGTAACCAGGATTTCTTGTGTGTTTGACAGGTCATCAGGGACAGATTGATGGATCTGACCAACTTCAAGAAGGGGGAGGAAGAAAGAAGTCATGATGATAATGTGGTCACCCTCTCAGTTAACTTGGATGAGCCCCACAAACAGGACTCGAGCCCCTCACAGCTGAATTAAACATCTCATGAAGCAACCCGAAACTCTCGATAAGGGAACCGCATTATGACGACACATCAGAGATTTTGTCGAGTACATAATTAGTGCTTAATCGCAAGCTAAAGACTTGTATGATAGCCCCTTTGTGAAAATGTAGTGAGTACATTTATGAAGCTTTCCAGGCAAGAATAGGTTTCCTGTCACTTTTGAAGACCCCGTGACAAAGGAGAGGGGGGAAAAAAAGCATAACAACAACAACTTGGGTCTATCTTGTGTTCTTTACATGAGGCAACATTTAAAACACATTTCTTGCCTGGACAGAGTTGTATCTTGGGCCCTCAGTCAGATCTGGACGATCAGTCAAAGCAAAAGCCATTCATTTGTGTCTTGTATACTCCAAACAAAAGGACGTTACTGCTTGAGTAAACTGTACGTGTATTTTTCCAACAACAACGACGAAAAAATCCCCCGAATAGATGTGTTTGTGATAGAGACCGTTGCCCGGGAGCAATTGTTACTCTCGCTTCCATTATGAGCCCGGCGTAACTGTGTTTCAGGTTCATTGACTGTAGCTACAACTAGTGGTGGCCTAGAGACAAGTCACAGGTAGGCAAGGATTGCCCGGGGAATCACAGCTCAGCCCGGTCTCTCGAAAGCGATTATCACTATATGAGCCGAGCATTATTTTGTTCCTCCATTTCTCACTGTTTTGGTTGGTAAGTTAACTGTTGTGTGGTGGAACGCTGTCACATAGTGTTCACCCTAGACAAGAAAGTCAACCCAGAAACTGATGATAATGATAATAATAATAATAATAATCCTTGCATTTGATATAGCGCCTCATCAGAATATATCGTAAAGTGGATTGACTGCGTATTTTCTGAGTGAAATGTGGCAGCCAAGCAGCACAGCAGGGTCCCACAAACAGTCATGGATTGAGTGACCAAATTATTATTATGTTTTTTAAGGGATTATAACCCCCGGAAAGCAATCCACCAATCGATTTAACAAACCGGGTTCCTACTTACTCCTGGGTAAACAGAAGCGGAGTGTGGAGTAAGGAAACTTGCCTAAGGTTTCGTCCTGCCCGGGAATCGAACCAGGGCCATCTCGCTTGTGAGGCGAGAGTGCTAAACACTACACTACAGGACAAACCCAGAAGCGGATCACTTGTTAATGAGAACCCTCCCTGCTCTCTTCTCCCCCGCTCCCTACCTTTATGAAGAGCTGGCGCATCTCAATACTTCTTAGTCTAATCTCTGATCACGCAGTTGTCGTTCCCAAGTCGCCCCCTCCCCCACCACACACGCACCGCTCGCTGTTAAGGGATAGCAATTCCCTCACTAGGTCAAGGATATTCCTTCACTCAGACTCGACAGGAAATCCGACACACCAGCGACCTTGTGCATTGGTTAAGGAGGGAGCCCTCAGGGAACAATAACTTATCCTTGCATTTGATACAGCGCCTTATCACGTTTTTGAGGTGTCTCAAAGCGCTTTGCAGAATATGCTGTAATTTGAATCGACTGTATATATTTTTTGGGGTGGGGGCGAAATATACTTCAACTTCAGTTCGTTCTTACATGCAGTGAAATCTATTTTGCCAGACAGAGAGGGAGAGAGAGAGAGAGAGAGAGAGAAAGAGAGCACTGCAGCAAAGCACCACACCACACTTGTTTGTGTTGTCACAGGTTCAGGTCAGCATGTGACCCATTTTATCAGTTCTTCGTTCCACTGTGTGGTTCCGATCTCAGACCTAAAGGAGAATTTCACACTCTTAATGGGGTTGGAAAAGACTGACGTGTCCAAGGATGACTTTGGAAGCAGTGCTCTTGCTAAATAAATAATACATAGAATTTGTTTTGGAGCAAAAGAGCTTTGGGCTCCTCGCACACCCAGAGCTCCGTGGCATCGGCAAACCAAGGAAGGAGTTCAACAAAGGGTTGTGAATGTGTTTTTTTTTGAATAAAGCAGATGCGTCTTATTCAGTGCATTTTGTGGACTTTATTTTTAAGCGGTTACCCCCGAACGCACACTCTGGGGTCCTCCAAGCCTTCGCTCTTACCAACCTGCACCTAATACTTTCTGGAATTAGGTAAGCAGGATGCATCTCTCCAGAGAGGGAGTGCGCATTCCATTCCAACAATCTATGGATTTCTGCTTGTGTCAGACACCCGGCTGACCAAAAAGTAATATATATATGTTAAACATTTATAGAAAAGGAAAATTTAGTGGGTTTACAGTTTGCTCCTTTGAGTTACAAGCAACTCTGGTTGACTCCAAGTTGTTAACTCATTCACTGAATGCAAAGATAAATGTTTTTGACAGGAAAGCCTTTCAGGGGGACATCAACTGACAATGAGTTTGGTTTATTTCTTCTCATTTAATTCTCTACTCACTTATTACAATTGTAGATGTGTGTCTTGAATAAAGGTTAACTGAAATGGGTGTGTTCCAATGAAGACCCTAACAATATCAACTTGCACTTACAGCTAATAATAATAATGATGATAATAAACCTTACATTTGGCACAGCATCTTTCACATCTAGAGGATGTCTCAAAGCCCTTCACGGGATTTACTGTAAAGTGTTGTGACTGTATTTTTTTGTAGGCAGCCAATTTGTGCACAGCGACATCCCGCGAACAGACATGATGTGAGTGATCAATTTTAAACCCACTGTGATAACAATCCTTGCATTTGATACAGTGCCTTATCACGTCATCCAGACGTCTCAAAGTACTTCATAGAATATACTCCAGAAGTGGAATCCTGTAGCTCGCTTTGCAAGTGAACCTGAGCTCAATTCCAGACAGGGCGAAACCTTGGGCAAGTTTCCTTACTCCACACGCCTAATAATAATCCCTCCAAAACGAAAAAAAATAATAAATTGGTCATTTTCAATCCATGACTGTTTGTGGGATATTGCTATGCGCAATTGGCTGCCGCCTTTGCCCACAAATATACAGTCAATTCACTTTACAGTATATTCTGTGAAGTGCTTTGGGTCGTCCAGAAGACGTGAAAAGCGCTATATGAAATGCAAGGATTATTATTATTATTTTGGGGGTGAAACACGGCAGTCAATTGCGCACAGCACCATCCCACAAACAGTCGTGGATTGAGGCACCAAATTATTTTTATTTAGTGGGTCTAACAGTGACCCAGTGTTAGACCCACATTGTGCATCTTAAAAACTGAGGCATCCCATGTCAGAGGACATTTGGCTGTTCATCAGTCTCTGGTGCATCACAGCTTGAAGCTTAACCGTAACATTGGCAGGGTCAGGGTATTAAGAGATATGGGACTAGGCCGGGAAACTGGTCATGAGGTACAGATCAGCCATGACCGTATAAAACGGCAGAACATGCTGGAGGGGTTGAATAGCCTACTCCTGTTTCTATGTTCTTATGAGAAAAAGACAGAGGGAAAGGCTGCATGTTAACAATGATGAAAATATGTGAATATTGATGACAAACAAGAAGATTTATCTGCATTAGTCAAACACTACAGAACAATACCTGACAAAGGTGCGCTATACAGTGGGAACAATTTGCTGGATCATATTGCTGCGTATTTCCCAAGTATTTGACAGCGTTGGTGCAGTGATTCAACTCAATAATTTCTTCCCATAGTTTCTAAGAACTCCCCATCAGTTCTCGCACATTTCCGCAACCCTCTGACACAATATTTGATTGTAGTTCCGAACAATTAAATGTTACGTTCCCATGATGAACGAGCTGGTAAAGTACATTGTAATTGCCATCGAGCTGTTAGTTGGTGAATTCATTTTCAAATATGAAAGGTACGGACATCGCTGGCAAATAGTCAGGCGATGGTAGGGAGACTGAATGGAGGTGATGAATGCCTTTTGCAACGGAACAAAAAGATCTTTTAACATAGTATTAAACAGAGCATTGACACTTGTAATAAAGCATTTCATTTCTTACGCTTTGAAGGTCAACTATATTGAAAGCAGCGCAGATGACTCATAGCACACTTCAGCAAGATGTCAACACATTCACGAGCACTTCTGGCCTCAAATCTGAGTTAAGACTTGTCTGGTTTGGCTGTTCCAACGTTCTGGGATGCTACCCTGTGTGAGGGGTGCTATATAAATGCAAGTTGTTGTTGTTGTTACTGCTGTTGTTGTTCAGGTGGATGTAAAGGATTACAAGAACACTGGCTTGAACAAAGAGCAAGGAATTGTCTTCTGTTGTCACAGACAATATCTACTCCTGATCCTAATTCATCCCGAAAAAGATTTGCTTTATCCAAACTTCACTTGTTATTGTGAAAGGCTCTGAGTAGAGTGGTCCTGTTTGTTCCCCGTACTGTCTCATGTGGTGTCCCTCAGGGCTCTGTCCTTGGTCCCCTCCTCTTCACCCTCTATATGCTCCCCCTGTGGTGACATCATCCGCAGACATGGAGTTAACTTCCACATGTATGCGGATGACACCCAACTCTACCTTTCCTCCTCTACTCTCAACTCCACGACCACCGATGTCCTGACAGCTGCCTGTCCGACATCGAGTCCTGGACGAGAGACAACTTTCTTCAGCTCAACGTGCGAAAAACCGAGGCCCTCCTGATTGGCTCACGTCAGCGCCTCCGCACCTCAGGCGCTGACACCATCAGCATCCAAGGCTGCACTCTCCACCTCTCAAAGCCAGTCAGGAACCTCGGCGTTTTGTTCGACCCTGAGCTGTCCTTTCTCTCTCACATCCGCACCACAACTGGCACCGCCTTCCATCACCTCCGGAACATCGCCAGACTACGGCATTACCTCACCCCTCACGCTGCTGAAACCCTGGTCCAAGCCTTTGTCACCTCAAGGCTGGACTATGGGAACTCTCTCCTCGCCGGCCTTCCCGCCACCTCCCTCCACAAGCTGCAGGTCATTCAGAACTCTGCAGCTCGTGTACTGTCCCGCACCAGGCTTCGGGACCACATCACTCCCACCCTCGCTCGCCTCCACTGGCTCCCCATCCCCCAGAGGATTGATTTCAAGATCCTCATCCTCACCTACAAGGCCATTCACGGCCTCGCTCCCTCCTACCTCTCCAACCTACTATCCCCCTACCTACCTGCCCGTACCCTCCGTTCCTCTGGCTCTGGTCTGCTCCACGTCCCCCGCCCCAACCGCCCTACCATCGGTGGTCGGGCCTTCAGCCTCTCAGCCCCGAGGCTCTGGAACTCTATCCCCCAGTGCCTTCGCCGCTTCCTCCCTTTCCTCCTTCAAGGCCGGTCTCAAAACCTTTCTCTTTGACCGTGCCTTCAGCTCCCCTCTCGACTCTCTTCCCCCTCCTCGCTCCCTCCCTTCCCTCCCCTCACCCTGACCATTTCCCCCCTCCTCGCTCCCTCCCTTCCCTCCCATCACCCTGACCATTTCCCCCCTGCTCGGGTCATGACCCAACTGTGCAGCGCCTTGGGACGTCCTCCTGACGTGAAAGGCGCTTTATAAATGGAATCTTGTTGTTGTTGTTGTTGTTGTTCCTGGTCAGGCGGATGTTAAAGATCTCATGGGACAATTTGAACAGAGAAGGGAGTTTTTCCTGGTGTCCTGGCCAACAATCCCCTGAATAAAAATTGTTTATTCGCTTCATAGCTTTTGGTGGAGTATTGCTGTGAGTTTTCCCACCATTTCTTCACCTATAGGGTGAGGAAAAAGCCAGCAAATCACCAGTAATCCGAGGTCCTATTTGCACCGACACATGTCCAATAAACAATCTGCTCTTGGCTTTGGGGGTAATTATGAATCATTTTGGTTCAGTGTTAGCCTGACCCAGTTGGCAGTACTCTCACCTCAGGGTCATGAGATTTGAGGGTTCAAG